GATAAAACTAATTACATTCGCTAGCCGAAAAGTATTTAAAATATGTATATTTTTTCATATATATATATATATATATATGCATATTATTTTTAGAACGGCTAAAAATATACATTTTTTCCCGTACACATATATTTGTACAAAATAGGGCAAATGTGTAACTTGCTCTATCCCTTTTATTCACTTTATGACTCATTTTTCTTCCTCCTGGCCCCCCTCCCCCCACCCCAAATCCCCTTTCCTCCTCTCTATTTATCCACCTTTACTAACTCCAATATTTCCCACTTCTTTAGTCATTACCCCTCAAAATACAGAGAGAAAACACACAAACACAAGCAGCTCTTTTTGCTCGTCATGGGAAATTATAGGTTTAGATTATCAGATATGATGACAAATGCTTGGTTTTACAAGCTCAAGGACATGAGCAAAATCAGCAGCAACAAAAGCAAAGGGCATAACCACACCACCTCAATTTCTTCAACATCATCATTCTCAGCATCAAATCTTCAATCAGACCAAAAAATAAAACAACCCCACATCACTACTTACCCAAGAAAATCATATTACATTTCAAGAAACCTTAGTCCAACAAATAATAACCATGAAATATTTTCCCAAAATCCTTCCTCAAACAACCCAAAACTCTCTGACAATAATATTAATTTTTCAAAGAAAAGGCGTAGCACTACAAGGAGAAGAATTAATTCTCCTAAAATTGTCACTTCTTCTGTTTCAGCTAGTTGCAGTTGCCGTGCTTCTCTTGAATCAGTTTGGACTAAACCTGATTCCACCCCTGAAGATTATCCAAATTCACCTAATGCCCCCTCATCTTCTTCTTCTGAAACATTAGACCCCATAATTTCACTTTCACCATCTTGTGGTTGCAGAGTTAATGAAATGAACAAAGATTCTCTCAATTATGATCATGGGTTTACGTCTATTTCCAAAATTGACCTTCCCCCGATTATAACCAAACCCAAAAAGTTCAACGGTTCGGCCCAAGAAAAGGATGAAAAACAGAGGATTTCTACAGTGAGAAGAGTGTCAGTGAGTTCAACAACTGGTGTGAAGCTAAGAACAAACTCTCCAAAAATAACAAACAGCAAGAAAATTCAAGGAGTTAGCAGAAAGAGTGTTAGTTCAAGAAGGAGTAGTAGTAGTGTTTCAGAAAGTTTTGCAGTGGTGAAATCATCTAAAAATCCACAGAAAGATTTTAGAGAGTCAATGGTGGAGATGATAATGGAAAATAATATAAGGACTTCAAAGGATTTGGAAGAACTTCTTGCTTGTTATCTTTCTTTGAATTCAGATGAGTATCATGATCTTATCATTAAAGTGTTCAAGCAAATTTGGTTTGACATCACTGATATTCGGCTAAAGTAAATATAAAAAGACGAGTATGCTGGAATTTTTATAAGGTATGTCAATATTTGAAAAAGTGAACGAATGAATAAATTAATGTAACAACAAGTGGTATCATTTTTTATATTTTTATCCAATATTTTAATTTTATTTATACATACAAATTGCAAAAAATTCTGATAAAGCGGTGTCATGTGATACCGCTTCAAGCAAGGTGCTTACGTTCTTGGCTGAACCACAAGAGTTTATTGTACGCAATCTTACCCTATATTTCTGCAAGAAGCTGTTTCAAGGCTAAAATCCGTGACCTAAAGATGACATGGCAGTTATGTCTAAGGCTCCCTTTCAAGGCTAACGTAAATATGAATGTATTCTTTCCTTTTCTCATAGTTATGATATGTGTATTATAGTAAAAAATTCATAACGTCGTTCCTCCATTGTTAATTAGAGTTCTCACTTTGAGCCAATGAGTTTGAACGTGGAATGAAGAAAACAAACAAAGGTACAAAATCCAATCTTGTAACAATATAATCTGTCTGACTATGACGTGCTCTTGTACATGAATGGATTAGTACGTGTTCTCTGCTGGTAATGGAGGTAAAAGTCTTACGCCAAAACAAACGCACCTTCGCCGAAATTTTAATTTGATTATTTGCTCTAGTATATGATCACTTATTGAATATTTCACTATTATGTCTCTTGGTCTCTTTTTTATATTCTTTTATTTTCTGTTTATATTTATACTATTTTCTTATTAGTTCATTTAAAAAAGAATGACATATTTACATTTGAAAATAATTAATTTTACGATTCTCGTTTTATCTTTAATGAAAAGCTTTTATAGCCACATAAATGTTACGAAATGCTTAAGATAATTTTTAAAAGTCTCAAACTTCATATCTATTATTCAAATTCACATATATAGGAGCGGATCTGATGGAGTATATCAGAATAAATGATGTCAGCCCAGTGCACAAGGCATTCTGCGTTCTCGCAAGGTCCAGGGAAGGGCCGCATCCCAAGGAGGTGTGATGTAGGCATTCTACCCTAATATAAGCATCCGTGACTAATTTCACGGCTCGAACCTGTGACCTATAGATCATATGAAGACAACTTAACCGTTTTCCGAGGCTTCCCTACTGTATCAAAATAAATGCTTATATAAAAAGTTTATGCTATGATAACATCATCTTTCATTTCTAGCATTGAAGGTGTACATGTATTACATTAGGTACTGGTAATTTTATAGGACTTACAAGGCAACGGGCATTATTAGTTCACCAAAGCAGTGAAGCTACAGTTTACTATGTCCATAAAGATGAATTGAATATATATATATATATATATCATTCACTCACTCCAACTACAGATACATCATCGTGCAGTTCACCACAATTCTTATCCATCACTACTGATTTGTAATTTATATCTACAGGAAAAGGACCTCACACCTATTAGTCCTAACTCACCGACATTTTTTCATTCTCAATCTCTAGCTACAGGACCAAAAGAAGATACCCTTTTAGGACAAGTTTTCAGTTTCTAACGTATTTTCTACCTCAGAATCTTATAGGTTTTGCTCTGACACTATCTTCAGCTAGCTTTAATTCACTCCTCACATAGCATAATACATGCAAAAGGTAAATATAGACAGAAAGGCTACTGAGAGAAGGATTTAAACAATTCTATGTAAGTTTCTGTATCTTTCATTTGTTTATAAATACAAGTTTTCAAATTTTATGTACTGTGAGTCCGCATGGGCTTAAAGAAGCTTTTCCAATTTCTGCATTTCGTCTAAAGTTAAGAAGAGGAGTTTGAGTACAGAAGCAAAAGTTGCTTCGAAAGTTACAAAAGTTTGTGTCCATTTTTTAAACCTAAAAAGCTATATCTAGAGTTTTATATTTAATTTAGATAAATATGTATAAGCATTTACAGCAAGTTCTGTTGAGGGATTGCAAAATGTGTTCCAACGGCTAACTAAAAAAAGTGTTTTAAGTTCTACATATGTACTAATGGTATAAAAATTATTTAATTTACATCTTATAAAAATGTAAAAATAGCACGGTATAGTCAGTTTTCGGACTGGTCATTCAAAAATAGTCAGCATTTACCAAATCAATGAAAAATAGCCAATATTTTGCTGCAACAGAGACCGGTCCAGCATAATATACTGTAGTTCGGTGCACCTGTGTATGAACTCCATCATATTATGATGTTCAAGTATACTTATGCTGAAACTCCAACATAATATACTGGCGTATTTTTCGGGTTTTGAACAGTGTTTTCGTTCAGATTTATCTTTACATGAAAAATGGCTAAATTTCGATTACTTTTGAAACTGGGCTATTTTTAAACGACCAGTTGTAAATATGGCTATTTTTGAATTTCTCCCTATAAAAATCGCAACTATATATTCCCTCCGGTCCACAATAAGTGACCAATTTTCTTTTGGTCCAAAATAAGTGTCCATTTATATAATCAAAAAAAAAATTTAATTTGTTTTTCCAAAATTACCCTTATGTACGTATCCCAAAAAAAGTCATTTACTCCTCACATTTAAGAAGTGCTACTATAACTATGCTGCAACATTCAATTAAGGGTAGTTTGGTCACATTAACTATTTTTGTCTAGATTTCAGTATTTCCTTAATGAGTGTGCCCAAAGCAAATTGATCACTTATTATGGATCGAAGAGAGTAATTATCATATAAATACGCATTTATTTTTTCACAGCTAACGGCTAAAATCCCCATTTGAAATTATAGTCAAATCTCTTTATCACAATATTGTTTATTTCAATATTTTTTGGCTGCTATAGTAAAATAATGTTTATGAAAATATATGTTATAACATAATATAAAAAATTAATTTCAAAGAAAACTTACCGTTATATATAATGAAATATTGTTATAGAGGAAGACTGTAGATTATTTAAGGGATTTTCTATGTATAAACTTTAATATGGAAAAGCTTAGATTAAACCCAAATATGTGATCCCAAAAGTTCTTTTATTTGAAAAAACATAATGTAAGAGAGGGCTTTTATCCAGATTACGTCCTCACTTTAAGGGCGTGTTTGGTACGAAGAAAAATATTTTTCGAAAAATATTTTTTAATTTTCTCATGTTTGGTTGGCTTAAATGTTTTGAAAAATATTTTTCTTATGAATTCATTTTTCTCTCACTAGAGGAAAATGTTTTCCTTATAAAGAGAAGGAAAAATATTTTCCAAAACTCTTTCTCAACNACCTCCTGCCCCGTCCCTGCCCCCTCCCCACCTCCCCCCAGAAAAATATTTTTTAAATATATTTTTCAGTTTTAATTTTTTTATTTAATGGTTTAAAGGTTAAAAATTTTACAAGTTCCAAAATTATGAGTTTGGAGGTTTATGTGTTTGGAAGTTTACAGGTTTAGAAATTATGAAGTTTGCGGGTTCGAAATTTCGTGGTTTCGAAAGTTTAGCGGTTCGAAAGTTTATGAAATTTGTGGGTTCGGAAGGTTGTTGGTTTGAAAGTTTATGGCTTCATATTTATTATATCTAAATTATTTATGAATACTCTTGAGAAGTCATTTTCCTTAATTTATGTACCAAACACCGAAAAATAAATAAAATTACTACTTATTTTTCAAAAAAATATTTTTTTGGAAAACATTTTCCGTTATACCAAACACACCCCAAGTAACAAAAGGAAAACAAGAATAATTACTTTGTTGCTTGCCTATTATCGGTTGTGCTTTATTTGGGTGTTGCTAAGAGAAATTAATTGGATCCGGCTCACCTCCTGTACACCATCCATCAAGTTCTTCCAGTGTAACTTAAATTTTATGACACCTGTCCCTTCTTAAAATCTAATGGTCAATATTTATTTAACTAAAACAGCCTCTCATACCATGGTTAATTAACACCCCCTAATTATCTGACTTATACTTTCCTTAGAGGCACACATATTAGAAGTTCGACACAACTAAAACTTTTTTATTAACTTATTCATGAAATAATGTATACGAAATAAAAGATCACATCTCGATTAGCCCTTCATTTTTTTCATGCTTATTACCTCCCGTGACATTGAAAAGTGATCTGCACCTATATACCATTTTCATAATTCCAATAACTCTTCAATCTGTCAAAGTGATTATAAATTTTGTTACTTTGAAAATGGTAATTACAATTAAATTTAAATTTGTGGTTTTAAAAATACATGATTTATTTTAATGCTAGTTGTTAAGTGATAGATGCTAAGTGTGAGTCAAGAAAATGAGATAAGAGTTTGGGGACAATATGTTATGCAAACCGAGTGGCCGTGAATCGGCGTCTCGAGCTGGCCTGCGCTGGGCCTCGAGGTCGAGCTAAAGTGTCAGACTGGGAATGATCGACGAAGAACTAACAGTTCTAAGGACCTTGATGATGACTATTTATGATCAATGATGAACAATAAATGAAGAACAATCAGTAAAGCACAATAAATGTAAGCAATAAAATCAAAGGGGCGACGATAAAATATGTTCAAGTTGAAGAGCAGAGAATGTTCTTGTTCTTGTATTGAATATCATGTGCCTTACAAAATGATAATGGTCCCCTTTATATAGGAGAGAGAATCCCAACTTAGTACAGGTGCATTTATTACAAAGATATGCGGTTGGTACACCTATTTAATGTCACGGTACGAACTTGTACTATTCTTGTAGACCCGATCAACTCTAACCACATGCCTTGGGAATCTCCCGCTTGTCCATCATATCCGCCGATTTGCACTGCCCAAGGTCGAACATAGGGAACCTTCGGGGTCGAACCTCGAGCTGTACCTCGAGGGTTCTGGAGACGGGCCATGGAGCGTCATAATGATCATAAAATCGGACTCTTCAATTTTAGCCGTATACAAATAGTCCCCGCGTTTCTTAGAGTAAAAATGATAAGAAACAGTCTTGAATTCTTACCTCTTCGATACTTCCATCATGAAGTCAGTCTGTCAGAGCATTAAATGACACGACTCAAAGGCTACGCAGAGGTCACTGTCAGCACGATTATCGATAAGCCCACAAACTGTTATTGGTTTGACTCTTCTGTTTCTCAAATGTCGCCCAAACGGCTTTTATAAATACCTCAACTGTTTTCCATTCATACTTTTACAATATCTTCAAGTTTTCAGAGCTAAGTTACCATCTTCTGCATTCATCTCCTTTCTGTGCTTGCCTCTTCATTTTCTTTCTTAGAAACTTTGTTATAGTTATGGCTAAAACCTCCAAAATGGTACCTCCAAAAGAGGGCACCACTTCTTCATTGCTCCCGTAAAAGGGAAAACCAAAAACATCTCCAAGTATTGAGCAATGTATCCCTGACCACTTCGATACGGTCTCCGATTTTACCATTGAAAAACCCCCTTCTACACCGGACCGATGCGAGCCCATGTCTCGGTATATCAGTGTGGTGACCGATACAAAGAGAG